GCAGATCAATAGTAAAGCAACCCCTTGCTTTGCCTTAGTTATACACGGTGTCAGGCAACTTAGTACAGCATACACAAACACGCCATCATACAATCGCAAGCATCCTTACCTTGTCTTGGCACATGCCCTGCATGTTATAAATCATCGCGTGTCATAATAATGCAATAAACATATAACATAATCAGAACACATAACAACTTTCCCATGCACGATGCACTCATGCGTGTTTCGATTATTAAGACCATTCAGGACCACGGCACAATCCTATGGTTTGACGGTCTTCCAACATGACCGACATCTATCGCGACCACTTAGGTTACGCCCGTCTTCGAACGGGGATCTTCTGGTTTAACCAGGTATTGATCACGGACACTCAGGGCACGCTCGAAATTCCATCGTGGGTCTCATCACGGCCATTCAAGTTACGCCCGCAATCATGCGAGGGGTTTTATCACGGCCATTCAAGGCACGCCCGCACTCATACGAGGGTAACGGTTTCTCATTATGTGATCACGCAAGCACCTAAACCATTCAAGCTAATTTCATTTCTCCTCATTTAACCAATGCAGACGTGGTTGTACTTACACATCAAAATACAGCTACTTTCATGCCTAAAAATGCAGTAATAAATTCACACGTAATTATATACACATAATTAAACCGTTAAACTTTGCATGCTTTCCTTTTTAAACATCCTTGCCCTATTTTACTTATAAAACTTGGCATATAAGCTCGACACCTCGGGATTTACTATTTAATATGTCCACAAAAACCCTTTTAAAAATTAACTAACAGGGTTTCACGTAGGGCAATCATTTTTTAGGGTAAAACATGCTTTAAACAGTACGAAACGGACATAATTCAACACTTGAATCAAGTAGAAAACACCCATATAAAATTCACTTATTGCCCTAATTGCGATAACTTATCATTCAAATAATGATAGCTTATCACCTAATTGATGATAGCTTATCAATTAAATAATGATAGCTTATTGTCCCTTTGACGATAGTTTATCACCCTTTTTCCGATAGCTTATCGTCCTTTTACGATAGCTTATCATCATTTCCTCGATAGCCTATTGCCTATTTGGCAATAGTTTATCACCAAAACTTTGATAGCTTATCACCTAATTGGTGATATCTTATAACCAAAACTTCGATAGCTTATCGTCCAACTTTCCGATAACCTATCGCTAGTTGATAACCTATCAACTAATTAATCACCATTAATCACTAACCACCTAATTAACTTAATATAAACTAATCATAATCAAGTTTAACGAACTAATCAAAGGATTATAGCGTTAACTCACCCGTTAACGATTCAGATGACACGGGCTCGATGGGTGTTCACTCGGCCCACTTCCTCGTGGGCACCAATTCTAGGACCAAAATTTCCCTTTCCGAGAATTTCGAGCAAACCGATAAATCGAAGAATTAACGAGGCACACATTGGGCGTGAGGCCCAATGGGCCACTTCCTTGTGGGCTCCAATTCTCGGACCAAAATTTCATTTTCCAAGAATTTTGAGCAAACCGATAAATCAGAGAATTAACGAGGCGATATCCAATAGGTTAGTCTTGAAATCCTTGAAAGTTCGATACTCAAATTCGGATTCTAATTCATGGTCAAAATCGATCAATTGCGACTTTAATATATCTCAAACTAACGGGCGGCTTTTAGGAGTTACGCGTATTCAACCCATGGTTGATTTGATATCAAATCACGTTTAAGCTTTCTCGAGTCATGGGTGACCTCGATTGTCATGTAATTGCGAGGGGTCAATTGCTAATTTTGAAGTACACGATCGTTAGGAATTGGTTTGGGGTTGTTCGTAATCCATATAATGGTCAGGCGGAATCACTCGCGATCCGATTGTATACTATTGGCGAATCATTCTATAACCATTCCTTGATCGGTTTATAATGGCTCAAAATTATCCCTTGACAATTCTTATAATCAAATTGTCAATCCATGGTCGAGTTCTCGGGTCGTGCATACTTAAGTCCTTAATAGCCTTTTCCTATTGGTTAGTCCTCTCATGAGTTATCAATTCAGAACAAGATTTAACTAATAGTGCATCGATAAAATAGTCATTTCATATATCTCGAAAATGGTCGAATTTCAGGATATCACAGTTAAATTCACTTGAACTGCTGCTCTTGCCACTGATTTTACAGTAGAGTCTTCTGAAAGGGTCTCTTCTAAGTAAGTCACAGACACGGTCCTTGAGGAACACGATAGGAAAAAAGACGACCATGAGAGAGACCATAAGATATGTAATGGCGAATGGCTGTTTGTATTCTTAGAAAATTTTCTGAACAGCAAGAACCCCAACAAACAAAAATTAGGAACTTGGATAGACAACATAATATATCCAAAAGCAAATAAAAACATGTTTTAAATGACACCCATCAAAAGATACCGCTATCTCAACCAGCATACACCTAGTAAGAACAATATTAGCCAAATTCAATGGAACACTTCAAGGTGTACGCGCTACCATAATCCAGAAATAAGATTTTGGCAGGAATGTGGGGCTGGGAAAACACTTCCAGGGCACTCAAACAGGCAAAATATTTATCGTTTCTAACTTTTCTGCAAAAGTCAACTCTTCCTCTATCAAGTCAGAAACCAAACCAGGGATATAAAGAAGCAACCCCGTCAAGTAAAACATATAATCAAGAGCAGAACAATTTGTCATGTTCCCAGAAATCAGTATCGATTCTTGGGTTTCAGAGCAACAAATGCAGAGTGAATCACTAACTTCGGATCTCACGGTGTAATTTAAATTCCAAACGGTCAACCCCTCCTTCTCTTTTCTCGCAGCAACCAAACAAAACACAAGGAAATAAATCTCACCTGAGTCACCTCCGCTGCAGCGACCCATATGAACACAACCGTGCCAATCAGATCCAAACCAGCTTTGTATCTCCAACCCATCATCATCCAAGAACACTTAGAGAATGCAGACGGAGCAACACCGCACCGAGTCTGCTGCAAAGCACCGAGTCCGCACCGGAGAGATCATTGAAAGGGAGCCCAATTTCAAGTCCGTTAACATATTCATGTTCAGATCCATCTTCGTTCAAAAATTTTAAAAGAATGGGTTATGGTGCACTAGATTATATTAGTTCTTACACATCATACCAAAACTCCAGCACAAATCTCCTCTACCCCAACTCACGTATGCGCCTCGACAAATTTGTTCTTCTAATCCCATTTTTTCACGAATCCGTGGTGATATCGAAATGAACTTTTTTTTGACCTCTTTCCTACTATATGTTTATTCTTCATTACTATTTCATCCGATATACGACGCGAAAAAAAATAAGTATATTTGTCGCCAATCGTCTCAACTCGGAAAAAAAGCTTAAATCTAATTCCGAGAGCCAAGTCATCTTAAAATAGTTTCGAGACCATTTGGCTGTTTTAACAATTTGCTATTCTTGTACACTTCGAATTGACTCCTCAACAGTCTAATTAATCACACTAACCATAAATACTTTCAACCTAACAACCCAATACATGAAAACTATCAGTAAAAAAAGCAATCAAAATAGGAGTAATTGATGTGATTGACCGTCCGAAACCCAGTCGGTCGCTAAAAACTTCAACCGAATTGAAGCTCGGGCCACAAATCTCCGCATTTCTTAAAAGGTGCGTTCGTTTCACGGAAAACTCAACATTTGAAAAACATTTTTCGAAAAAATAATCGCCCATATCGCTTATAGAACTGAACGAATGAAAATATTTTCAATCACCCACGGAAATAATTAAATATAAATTATTATCAATAATGAAAGCATTTTTCATTGACTAATTTTTCTATGGTTAATATCATGAAAAACCTCAAACTCGTACATCCGTGACAAATTTATCTCGAACAAATTTTTTGACCACCAAAAATCACAAACTAGTACACCCGTAATAAATTTATCACAAACCGATTTTTTGGACGATCAAAAAGCCCCAAACCGGTACACTTGTAATAAAATGTACCCTCCGTTAAGTTGGATTAATATTACGAAAAATCACAAATTGATAAATCCGTGAGTAAAATCCTAAATCGGTACACTTGTCAACTGGCAATTCAGTAATTTGACGATAAAACTCGACTTACTCTCACAAACATACCCATGTACAGTTTTTCTACGAACCAATATAACCAGCCATTTTTTTTTTCATCCTAAATTTCCCGTCGAACAAAACGCGCCCCCAATAAGTAATTCCACAAAAATCGGCTAAACTGCCCCCCGGATTGAAAAATCCACCCGCACGAATCGCGGGCAATCAATGCCGGCCGGCGGGTGGGAGGGAGGGCCCCCCAACCGGCCCCCCCGCCCCCGCACGATAGCCACGTGTGCATCCCCAACCACCAGAGGATAAGGACGATCCGGTCCGATCCGATCGCCCTTTTCCCGGGGGCGTTGACCTTGACCGGGTCTCGTTCCGTTGCTCCTGCGTGGCCTACAAACCACAGGCCGTTTCCCACGATAAACAAAAACCAACCCCAACCCAATCCCCCTCACTTTTCGTTGCCTGAAAAATCGCTCGCTTTTTTTTTTCCTTAATTAAGTAATTTGCCCCTCCAATTTCCTTCATTTTCGAAATTACGGAATCGGGAAAATCAAAAATAATAAATTCGAATTATTAACTGGTCTCCACACTCGAAGAGCCCGGTTCCTCGAAAAGCTTAAATCGATAGGCGAATGGCATACAAAATCCCGTCGCCTCGATGACCAAGAAGATTTTCGCTAAATATTAAATTAATTGATTTATCATCTCGGGTTCGACCCAAAAAAAAATCATTATTTCGATTATTCGGATATTTTTATTTTCATTTTTTAAACCTCTTTCTTAAAATCAGGAAGGGAATTTGTTTTTTTTTTATTTTCTCTCTTTCTCTCTCTTCCGATTGCGTCCGGTCTCAACAAACCACCCCCCCCCCCCCCCTCGGAAACGAATTCCGCCATTGATTTCTTCTCCTCCTCCTCCTCCTCCTCCTCCTCCTCTTTCGTCTCCTCCTCCTCCTTCTTCGTCTTTGTTTCTCTCTCTGTTTCTCTCTCTCTCTCTGCAGACGATTGGAGGCCTCGCCCTTCGCTCCTCGACCGCAAATCCGCCGCCGTTTCCTCCATTGACGCCGCATTTCGCACTTCCCTTCTGGTACTCTCTCTCCCTCTCCCTCTTCCTCCCATCCGTCGGTGCCGATTGCTCCGCCGTTCGTCATCGATCGATGCGGTCCGCGCGTTCGACGCGGCCTGAGGCGGTGGTGGTGGTGGTGACGCTGCTGTTGGTGGTGGTGGTGGTTGGTTTTTCGCAGGTCGGAAGCTTGGGGGGAGAGAACCGATCGGGGCGGGGGTTTTGAGGCGATCTCATGAATGTTGGGGCCGTACGGCTTGATTGCGACCTGCGAGTGACGAATCGCTTGGCCCTGCTGCTGTTGACCTTCTGCCTGCTGTCGATTCTGGAGACCGCGGCGTTGGATTCGGGGGATTCGAGCGGGGGCGGCGGGGAGATGGGGTACCTCAACTCGATCATATCGACTTCGGGCCAGCTTCATGCCGATGAAGCCCCGGTCAGCGGCGGGGGGCTCAGGTACATCGTTACCGGCTAGATCTCGGGCGCTTCGATTTTGTGTATTTCAGCATCCGGTTTTCGGTTCGATGTCATGCGTCAGGGGCGCGCCTGTGTCTGGATTTGTTTTATGCTGTTATGGTGAATCGTATATCTATGCCTACTTGTCCTGAATAGGGTGCGTTTTAATAATTTCGGTGGCTAATTTTTGCGTGTTGTATGGAACTTGAGACTCCCGTGTCGGTGTCTTTCGTGTCGATCTCTTCTCTATGCAATATGAACTTGACAACGTGTATTAGAGGCTCACGATCTCGGCGAAACACTTTTGTGAGACTTTAAAACAAAAATGCTGGGTGGTCTTTGATAAGTGAAACCTTTTGGTTACTTGGGGTTGACTTGGATTATGGTAGACAGTTGGATTGTTTTGATCTCCTCGTTTCATCAACAATATCCAACCATAAATCTGCCATAAATCTGCCAACTTGCATAGAGTGATGGGGCGTGTCATTTCCTCTCAAATGATTGATTTTTTGAAGGTAGAAGCTCGGGTTGGAAGCCTCTTTACCTCATTCAAATGTGTCTGTTAGTTTCGAAAGAGAGCTGCTCCACTAATATTCGTTTATTAAATGCATATATCTCTCCCTAATCTTCGGGATGCATTAGTGTCTATTGTCTTGTTGTCGGGTCTTGACTTACCATACGAGGAAGATTGCAAGAGTTTCCGCCGACCAAAAAACTAAGAAATTGGCATATCTTTCTTGAAGTCCCTTCGTTTAGTCCTCCTTGCCCTGTCTCCCACATTGATATGCTAACTGTGCAATGGTCACCAGTAGGAAATTGATGGGAAAAGTGTGATAAATAGTCCTTAGTGGACTTTATAGAAGCTTCTCCTCCTTTAACCCTGAGACGTTCTAGAATATCTAGAAAATCACCAAGCCTCTAGCTGGTTCACGACCTGCCTGGACCTATCAAAAGCTTCCCTACCGCACTCTGTGGTGTTTCAGATTCTTCTCATGATCAAACTTAGAGAGCTGACCTAAATTTCTTGCAAGTGAACCACCGCTGTTAATTTCAAGATCTATCATGTGATTGGAGATTTTGTTTTGTCAGGTTCAGGCAGTCAGGCCTGACAACAAGGTTTGCAATAGGTTGTCTTATGTGATTTAGTGATTATTGTTTGACAACATGATCTTATGTTGCTGACTTCTACAAATTATGTCTGCCACAATTGAAGGTCTTTCAAGTAAACAAGAGCTATTTATTTTGTAAGCTGCCTTAGTAGAAGGTCTTTCAAGTAAAAAAGAGCTATATGGGTTGTAACTTACTTGTATCCCAAAAAATCATGTGTATTATGGCCTCTCAGTTTTAAAGACAATGGAAGATGGCTACTCTCTCTCTCTCTCTCTCTCTCTCTCTCTCTCTCTCTCTCTCTCTCTCTCGTTTATGCCAGCATTATGATTTAGAGCCTCTTCTTCTTGATTCGCAAACTTTATTCTTGTGAAATTATTACTTTCCATGAATTAAGAAGTCAACTTCTTTCATTGATGAAGAAAGTTATTGTTCAATAGATCCATTTAGTGCCATCAGACAGCTAAATTCACTCTGAAATTAGCATGAACTGTCCATTATATGGTTACTGATTTAAAATGCCCGCTCATACATTTTGGAGGAAAGCATTTATTATGTTTGTTAGCCAGTTTTTTCTGACATAAGGTTTTTGTCCCTGGAACAGTCAAAATGGGAAATTCAGCTATGGTTATGCAAGCTCTCCTGGGAAAAGGGCTTCAATGGAAGATTTCTATGAGACAAGAATAGATGGTGTAGATGGGGAGATAGTTGGTCTTTTTGGAGTTTTTGATGGTAGCTCTCTCTCTCTCTCTCTCTCTCTCTCTCTCTCTCTCTCTTTGGGTGTGTGTGTGTTGGAGTGTGAGAGTGTGTGGATGTTTGTTTGTGATTCTTGGTTGTAGAAATTTTAAAGGGTAAGGCATCCTTATAAATTCATACCATGAGAACTTTAGACTCGATATTTGTCAACCATTTAGGGAGGCACTCTTTTGCAGTTCGGGACACAGATGCTTAGGGTCGTTAATTTCAGTGATCAAACATAGCTGCGGTCTTCTTTTTTAAAACTGGATTTGATCAGCATTTTACATTGTTAGTTGCTAGTTTTTGTTCTATTGTCAATATAGTTATTGTGATCATTTTTCTTCAAAAATTCCTTGAAAACTTTTCACCCCATGACTGTTTCCCATTAGAGTTTTGATTTGCATGATATGTCCTCAGAGGGTTTCATGGACTGCTACTCATCGGATGTTGCTTGATACTCGAGAAAACGTAAAGCATTTTAGGTTGCCATCTGCTTCAATTATGTTGCAATACCCGAAGTTAAAGCCCTTGGTGCATGTGCAAGGCTGTACGTAGGATGAGAAAGTTGGTAGGGTAAACTGTGTAATTTCTGCGGGACTGAAGTATCTGATTTGGCTCGGGATGAGATGTCACCTTAACTGGACTTGTTGTGATGGTTCATTGGGTCCACAATGACATCCCCAAATATGGAGGCAAATTGGTTTCTACTATCTTAATTTGAAAGACAAATAGTAGGTGCTCTGACTTTTACAGGATGTCAAATTATTGATGTAGCTTGCTAAGGAGGTGGAAGAGGTGGGGTGACGGTAATGATGAGAAAACTCTTGATGGTGAAAAGGGAAGTTGTGAAGCTGCCATGTATGGGAAGGGCTGGGAATGAAGTAGCTGTTCCTTTCCAATTGACTACGTTTAAGCCAGTGTCTTGGTGTTATAACAAGGATGCTGATCATTTGTGGAGGAGAGGTGAAGCTTGATCCAAACGATGCGGGATGCAGCTCTAAAGAATTTGAGGGTGCTTATGGAGTAGGTGTGTTAAATAAATTCAACAAGGCTGGCAGGAAATGTGGAATTATGCGGAAATTAAGGGCAAAATGGCCTCAAATCAGAATTTTTGTGCGATAAATAGCATGGAACACCATTTTGATGACTCTTTACCGGGAGATATGCAATGCAGCTGGAGGGAAACAGCAATATCCGCTCTTTTGGTATCTTTACAAATGGAAGAATGGTTTTACATGTAAATTTTTTGACAAATGACTCGGAGGTGGAAATCCTCATGAACTTTTATGATACCCTATGCAGGCAGATAGTGAAATACGTACCGAGGGAGATATTGATGTGTGGGTAGTAGTAAGGGAAGTCCTCTCTTTGAAAAGCTATCATGGCTGCTTGCAGGATGAGGCTGGTCATGTGTGAAGATGGAATTACCCATGGCAGAAGCATTGGGTAGACAAGAGTTTCTCTCTGGTGCTCGTGGTTTTTGACAATCTTGAAAAGAGAAGGAAAATGCTGGTTGGCTCGTGCTTTCTTTGTAAAGAGGAATAAGTCAACAATTTATAGCCATATGGTAGCTTAACTTGTAATGCTTCTCCACCTGCTTTTCGTCTTTGCCTGGAAGACTTTTGAGGGCAGAGCTGTAGGCGTGTAACTAGAGCTTGCAAAGAAGAGAAAATAGTCATCTACATGATTTATCTCTTTAAATTTTTGGCTTGTTCAGGAAGAAAAACATGAAACATATGATTTTCTCATGGATGCATGGTTCAGGATTTTTTTTCTTTTTTGGCTATAGCGCACTTGACTTTGTAGATGTCTCAGCCAGTACATGTGCTCCATTTTTTTAGGAGCATTACAAGAAATGGGATAGCATCCACCTTGGTGTGCTTTCATGAAATTTTGAGTTCTTCTATGTTTGTGCTTTCAAATTAGCAACTATGCAACGGTGAAATAGGATTTATATAGCCAGCCCATTTAGTGGGGCATGTATGTGTGTGTGTGTGCGCGCGCGCTTCTTTCATGAAGAACCGAATTAGGATTGACAAATTTTTTTTCTTGAATGTTTATTTCAGGTCATGGGGGTGCACGAGCTGCTGAATATGTGAAACAAAACCTTTTCAGTAATTTAATCAGGCATCCAAAATTCATCTCTGATACCAAATCTGCTATAGGTTTGTTGCTTCACTATCAACAAATGGGTTCTTGCCATTTATATGTTGTCATTAGGTAAAACAAACTGTTCATAAGAAGGGGGCCATGGTGGTTGTGGAACAATTTCAGGATCAAGTTTATGTCTCATAATTCCTCATTATGTACTTCCATTGATTATTGAAATTCATAAATGTTTTTCACACACTTCTCTATTAACCTAATGCAGCTGATGCATACAGCCATACAGACTCTGAGTTCTTGAAATCAGAAAATAATCAGAATAGAGATGCTGGGTCAACTGCTTCCACTGCCATCCTTGTTGGTGACCGGTTGCTTGTTGCCAATGTTGGAGATTCTAGAGCCGTGATATGCAGGGGCGGTAAAGGTAAATATTATCAGTACAGATGTTCAATTTTTGTTCCACTGGAAAGTGAAACTTTGGTCAAAGGTTTTCCACTTGGCAACTTCAAGGCAAAATATGTCTCTGATGTGGTAATCTTATTCATTCTTTTAGAAATGTAAGACATGCAATGCTGTTGCTGGCTGTTAAAAATATGGTATATATTTTATTTGTAAGGGAAAGTTATAAAAATAACCTCAAGTTTTTCATTTACTAGTTTGTCGAACACCTCTAATTTCAAAACACTCTAGACTATGAGATTTCAAAAGCCCACATTCGATACCATGTAGTCTTAACACTATTAAGAAAACGCTTGGAAATTTACACAGGTAGTGCAAAGGGTGCAACTTGTATGGTCTCGAAACTAGAGGATGTAAAATATGGGTCGTGAAATTAGAGGGCGCTAAGTATAGCTAAAGGAAAAGTTGGCTATGATTTTAACAATTTACCCTCTCTGTAATGGATGAGTCTTTTTATTCCTTAGGTTGAGGTAATGATTGTGACACGTGAAATTCTCAAACATTAACTCAGTAGGGTGGCATACTTGGCTATTACAAGTGATAGGCAGCAATGTTAATCTTTGAGAGTGATTGAACTTTTTGCTTACTCTTTGATTCAGTTTGCCAATTCCTCTATTTTATGCATCAGTCTTTGGATTGTGTTGCCAAAATTATTGTTCCTTATATTATGATATAATTAACTTTTGGTACTCCGCCAAGTGTAAATAGGGATCAGCTCATAAGATCGTCATTCCCTACAGATATATAGATATCTTTATGCGGAGAAGTTGGATAATCTTTCCTGGTAGCCTACACATGCTAATAATCTCAGTTTTGTACTGACTGCTTTCTTACAAAGAGGAGTAAAGCTTATAAGAGGAGTAAAGCTTATAAGAAGTTGCGTAGAGCGCATTTCTTTAATATTGATTGACTCAATTATTGGGATCCCTGCTTTCTTTTACCAGAGTGTTGGATTCCCTGCTGGCTTTTAGGTACTTGGGCAATTTTGATTGTCCAATCATAGGATTTGGGATCTGAAACTGTCGACCAAGAATGAGCTTCATCTGTCTAAAACTTCCTGAAGTATATTTCTTTTTCTAGGAAGTGGTTGGAGGGGGCTGATTTCTGGGAAAGTTATAGGACAGTAAATAATGCGCAAATCATATGATTTCAAATGTGTCCTACAAATTATCCTATTCGGTTGAAATCAAGTTCTTTGTAAATATTCTTTCACTAAATTGATGTTGAAATCAGTGTAGACTATCTCTTGGAAAAATTTTAAGGATATTAGGTGAAACCTACCTTTGTAGGTCATTTTCTATAAAAACTACCCATTGTTCAAATTTCGAAGTGTTACACTTGTTTTTGGCTTGGTGGTCGTTGTTTGATCAAATCATACCTGATATGATGACTTTAGAGAATCAATGTGATCAGATTTATGGGTAGTGAATGTAGATGAAGTGGATCAATTAGTTGCAACCCGCATGTCTTTCTCCTTTTGATCAGTTGATTTATCTATGTAAGTTTGAACGGCAAGTAGTTTTAGCACAATGTTTGAAAAATAGTTAGCATTTTAGATAAATGGCCTATCTGCGCAGAGGTGTTGGATATTCTCTTTCCTTGCTCTCTCGGCATGTCTTTTTTCAAAAACATAAGTTAATTCTCAAGTTGGATTTTATCCCTTTCTTCCTTTCTTATTACGGTTTTCCTATCATGGTTTTACAATGATTTTTTCACCAACAATTTCATATCTTCCTTTTCCAGCTATTGCTGTTTCTCGAGACCATAAGCCAGATCAAACAGATGAGCGTCAACGCATTGAAGAAGCTGGAGGATTCGTTATGTGGGCTGGTGAGGTTTTTCATTTATATCATTCCCCAATATCAATTTCAAATGTATATGAGTACACATTTTAATCTTGTTGGTTGCTGTGTGTTTGGATGATCGCTGAACTTTCTACGTATAGGTACTTGGAGAGTTGGAGGTGTTCTTGCTGTGTCACGTGCTTTTGGGGATAGGCTTTTGAAGCAGTATGTGGTGGCTGATCCTGAAATTCAGGTCTATATAGCTCTTCTATGTGCATGTGCATTTGTTCTTACATCACTTGTGTAAGTGTAGGGCACGTATGAGTATTCAAACAAAGAACTTTTACCAGGGACTCTGGCAGTGTAACAAAATTACTTCATAATTGAATTAAAATATTGACGACTTTTAGTTTTAGTAAACGCATTACAATCAATTAGTGAATACTTTTTTTATTTTAAGAGGGCTTCTGTCAAATTTCCTTTTTACAATGGCTTACAATGGCACTGTTTTAATATAGATCCTTGAACAAAATATTGCATTTGATGCCTTATTGAGATATGTTTATTCTTTGATTTGCTCTATTTATCTCAGAGATGATTGAAATGAGTGGAACTTTATTTGCTTTTATAGTGGCAGCACTTCTTTGCCTGAGCTTTAGCCTTTTATAACCTTTTAAAAATTGCAGGAGGAGAAGATTGACAGCTCACTCGAGTTTCTCATTCTTGCTAGTGATGGGCTGTGGGATGTTGTCACAAATGAGGTTGGCATTTCATTTAATTTTAGGCTGCTTTTTTTGTGATGGAGGATGGAGTTTTTCTTCATTTTAGTCTCTTGAATTATCTTAGCACTGTCCCAAATAACTAGAATACATTTGCTTCCAGCTGTGATAGATTGACCTAAGATTTAGTCATTACCAGTTGTCATTGGTCACACTGATAATTTTTTATCCGTGTGCTTAGAGCCATGGTGAGTGCATTATAGATGTTTCTTTGTGATGAACGAATGAGGTTTGCAACTGTACTTTTTACTTCTGTGCTTTACCTTGCGCAGGAGGCTGTTGCAATGATCAAGCCAATCGAAGATGCAGAGGCAGCAGCAAAAAGGCTTATGCAGGAAGCGTACCAGAGAGGGAGTGCGGATAACATTACATGTGTCGTCGTCCGTTTCTTGGCCAATCAGGGGTGTTCTTCTCAAAGCAGTTCTATGTAATCTCGCATTCCCATGCCGCTACTCGCCCTGCAGAATTTCTACCACTTTTGGTAATACTCTGATGCTGAATAAAAAGCACTGGTCAATTAACTTGACATAGGATCTCTTCGGTAGCGTAATACTAAGGTAAAGATAGCCCTAAGATGAAAAACCTTACCAGACTGCTAATGTGCATATCAGCAGCTTCTAGAATAGAACCATGTGTGGATTTAGTATGTGTACTTCGAGTCTTTTAATCTAGATAGAAAATATTCTTGAGTTGGAGCTGTTATGTCTGTAACTTGTAAATGTGTTCCAAGTTCAGTCCCTCAATATATGCTCTTTGTTCTTTCCCCCATGTATTTTAGTTTGTCCAAAATGTAAGGCGTCTCTATGCCCGCTTTTCGAGTTTATGAAGTGTTGTTGGTCAATCAGCTGCAGTGGTTCCTGTCTTATCGGCTTCACGGAAAGTCTTTACGATCACTCTTTGTTCCTGTAGTCTCTTCGGAGGTTCCCGCTGTCATGTCGCAGCGCTAAATGACATACCACCCCAATGTCCGGGTCTCTGGGTAAACGTGATTCGTAACATACCCGTTTGGTGTGTGTGTTTGAAGGATCGAAACTATGTAGACGACACAAACCTGCGTTCGTCGTGCAGGGCAGGGTTTGTTGTGCGGGATCGGGGTCGCTGATAACGTAAGAAGGCTAATGTGAGCCTCGATCTTCATGGTATAGGTATTGATCGCCACATTATGTCCATGACCCATGGAATGGATCACTGGCAAAAGAAGTGGTCCAGACTTCCCGCTTCATTTGTTTATTGGCAAAATCACACGAGTATACATAAAAAATTTTAGTCGCGGTAGGAGCTATCCATTGAGAATTCGACACGTGGCTGTGCGCGAAGCCTCGACCGGTATTGCCGTTCTAATGTGTTGTGGTTATCCTTCAGGATGAGTCTTGGGACATCCTGCCCCTCCATACTTGCTGAGTTCCGGAGGCTAGGCTTCTTGACTGGACGCCTTCTTTATCTTTCTCGTCGCGATCGACGTTGGCAACCTAATGCAATTATGGCATTTGTTGCCAGAGCTTGAGCTGCGTCGTTACGGCGCTGGAGCCAATCGTCCTCCCTGATTGGGGGATGTAAGTCAATGGCCGAGAGCTAGTGAGGTCGAAAGAATCGACTCTAAAGTTGGGTGGCTCTGAGGCTGTTTTTTTTTCAAATTAAAGAAGATGCCATCCTGTTTACTACATCCATCCATTATGAAAGATTGGTTCAATTATCGTAAGGAATATGATTTAATGGCAAAAACACGAAAAGATAAATGACCATCCAAGCGCCAAAAGTTAGTGACGAAATTTCTAGATTTTATTGATAAATATCGCAAAAAGACGTCAATTGTTATATGCGGATGAAATTCAGCGTTGACACCTAAATTCTTTTTTCTTTGTTCAAAAGGTCAATTGGTCGACCAATGGCGTGATCGAAATTTCACCTATGATTAGAATGATTCACGTCGTTTTAACTTCATACGTGTGTTTTACTCATTAAGACATTTTTACTTTGATACCATTAGGAGCCATGATGTTAAAAAAAATCCTCAAAATGCATCTTTTGTACTACCGAGGATTCAAAAGTAAATTCGAATTGTCTTCTCAAGCAAACTGCCAAGATCCATGGGCCATCGTGTTGAGATTTGTACACCAAGGAAGCTTCATACGCCAACATTTCTGTGACATAGTTTGCGCCGAAGAGACTTCGTCGTCGACCTCGAAGAGAGATATACTTGATGTACTTCCCTGTCGTAATCTTTGAATTCGAGATGGTCGAGGCCAAGGATGCGAAAGGAGAATGGAATGGATTGCAAGCTATATGATCAATCACCTAAATTAGCATAAATGGTTGATAATGTTATTGATGAGCTTCGAATTGGAACTTTAAAATGGGAAAAATGACACTACAATTTGCCACAATTTTCATATGGCGCTCACTTCAGCGCCAAACATTTCGACTATCACTTGAGTGCTATATCAGTAAAAAAACGACCACTTAATTTGTGTAATATTGACATTTTTTTATATATAGTCCTTTCTCCGTTTTAGGTTATTGTGTTTCCTTTTCTTAAATCATCTTATTAGTTCTATTTATATTCATCAAATTTTAACAATTTTTCTTAATAATTTTTACTTGATATATTTTTTTCATATATGAATATCTTAGTTTATTCATTTTCTCTATTTTTTATTCCATTAAAAAATAAGATGGATATTCTCTTTTAACCCTAAAAAACAGAAAATATAACAGAGGTTTAAATCTATAACAAAATGAAATTCAGGAGGGTAATGTGTTATAATTGAAAGTTTAGGTGTAAACATGTACAACCTCTAAATTTTGGGAGAGAATTGTGTAATTTTCCCCAAAACCAATTACGTATCCTCTTGATATATTGATTTTGTCTCCCATCAAGACCAACCCTTTGTTGAGTATGTCTTGAATTTTGGCAAACCAAGGTGGATGAGCTAGAGTGACAGTGAAATGCAAATATTCAGATAGATGATTTTTGGCAGCGTAGACAGCTCTGCTGTAGAGATGTAGAAAGTGAGAATTGTCAGAATGTTACGAATAGCTCAGTAGAGTTACGTTGGAAGCTAACAAAATGCTCCATCAAGCAGTTCATAAAATCTTTAAGTACTCATTTACTACATATTGTATATACTATAAAAGTGCACTGGTATGAAGGTGGAACATTTGCCCCTTGCTCCACATACTAGTATTGTTGGTCGTCTAATTTATGTCATTGATAATAGTAGGTCTAATATTTCACATGATGTTAGGAGTATGCATACTGCCAATCCATATTTACATTGTGATGCTATGAAATAGATTCTCCTGATTTTGTTAGGGACTGTAGACATCAGTTTGTACTGTAGAGGATGTAGCTTAGGTAGTGTGGTAGTAGCTAAGTATTTTGACCCGAGCCAAATAGGAGGCTAGAGAGCAGTCGATCTTTGAGTGTTTTGTACCTTTACTTTTATGAGCTGTGCTGTGAGCAAGGTGTTGTTGAGAGATCATGGTGGTTTTATTGATGAGTACGGCCTAGAATATAGCGATAGTAGAAGAAGGGTAAAGGCAATGTGATCGGGCAACTTGGTTGGTGACGTTGGCCGATGGTATCACGGGAGAACCGAGTTCAGTAGAGACCGGCACCTTTGCTTCAGAGATGGCATGTCAAGAGAGGATGTAACCGTAAAGAAACGTCTTGTGCTGAAGTATTTGTTGAGTAAGTCTCAAAGTCTTGGCTAACGGCTCAAACGAGGATGGAATCTCAATGATGTTGGATAGGCTCGAGAGGGAGTTTGGCGAAGCATCTAAGGATGAATTGTACTCACCCATAGTTAGACTATGGCTGGCCATAGTTGGTGAAGCCAGGCCAAAGCCCCGTGGCTACTAGCCTAACGCAGGGAGAACGAGCACCAAATGGCGTGAAGCGGGCGACCGGACAAATCCATTCAAGTGCTCAAGAGAAGCCATAAACTTTTCGGAGACTCGTTTCAAAACCGATTTTCCGAGGGCTTTAGTCAAATTACATGCCAGAGACTCTTGATATTGTGTCAAGGGTTCTCTATGTAGTTTTGAGAAGTATAAATCGTGAGAGATTGTGTAAAACACCGGGTGAAGATTGTTTAGAGTGTAACTGGGGTCAGGATCGAGAGAAACGTAGATTCAAGCTTGTAATCTCCTTGCTCACAGTAGATTTACTGCTCCCTCTGAAAAAAGTAGATTTCGACACTCTAGCCCAATCTCACAACTTCGTGTGCGTGTATTTTTCTATGGACAATTACTGTCGTAGTCGTGAACAGGTGATAAGAACACTCGCTATTCCCTCTACACTTCAATTAAAGCATGATAACGTGAAAAAGTTTCTTCCCTTCAAAGTAATAAAGTAATAAAATCTACATACCAACCGCACAAAAGTCCAAGATAAGAAAGCAATGACAAGCAAGCAATGGAGTGCACTGTTGATACACTCGTAATGATTGATTTCGTCACTTTAAAACCAATGATCATTCGGATTTTGATCTGCCCTTGACATTATTATATTCCCTAATCACTTCTTTATTCCTAATCACAGTAGGGCTTTACAGCAAATTTTTCCTTCCATTTTGCATCATCAAATTCCATGAAAATTCACCACAAACATTCAGATCATCAACGGTCGGAGATCCATGGATCAAACGCCAAGTCTCCTACTATATACAAACAGATCGACATTGCTAGAGAGAAAGCAGCAGCAGCAGCACAAAACCAGCAAGAAAAACGAGCCAAAAATTTCTCGAGAGAGAGAGAGAGAGAGAGAGAGAGAGGCGTTCAGAACGTTAGATGGATCTCAGAAGGAGGGCACGACCCCGAACCCGAACATGCGCTCGGCCTCCGCCTCGATGTCGGCGCGCTTCGCGAACCTCCCCTTGATCCGGGGCCGCGTCTCGGCGTAGGCCTTGCGCGAGGCGTACCGGATGGTCTTCTCGAACTTGCGGTTCTTCCTCTTCTCCCTGTACCTCAGGACCCTCGCTTCCCTGTCCACCGACGACAGCTGCAGCGCCCGGCTCGCGGACTCGAACCCCACACCGGCCGCTCGCCCGCCCGGGTTCGACATGTCGGTGCCCGTGCTCCCGTCCGGCACGACTCCGACGTCGAGAGAGGACGACGATACCTGCCACGATGAAGAATCCTACAGGTCAAGCTATTTTCCAGGTGTTCGTACTTCCATTTTCGAAGCGAAGTAGATCGAAACAGTAAATCTACATGGATTCGGCACTAAGCATGATCTGAATAACAAGCACGTTATGCTTACACTCTGGCTCAAGCAGTGAGCGCCATAGCCGAACTCGAACCCCTTCGATCCACCGGTCAACTCCAGGTCGAACCCGCCCTCCCCCATGAACGGCCCGTGGACGACGCCCTCGCAGCGCACCGGGACGACGCCGTCCGCCGTGCCGGAGCTGTGCTGGTCCCCGCTGGCCTCGAACTTGGGGTCGACCGGACCGTAGTCGACGTCCAGGTACGGGTCCACGTCGTCGCCGCCGCCGAACAGGAACTGGTGGGCGGAGTTCACGTCGGGGCTCTCGGCGGCCTTGGAGGGGTTGGGCAGCAGCCAGGAGGCGGCCTCCTCCTCCTCCTCCCGGCTGACCTCGTCCTCCGACTTGAGGACGAAGCCGCCGCCGCCGGACCTGGCGGAGGGCGGAGGGGGGACGGCGACGGCGGGGTGGTGGGGGTGGTTGGGGGGGAGGGGGTCGTAGAAGGGGACGACGGGGACGCGGTCGTGCTTCTGGGCGACGGGGTTGGCGGAGTGGATGTCGCGGTCGCAGGAGAGGCAGAGGGAGGCGGCGTCGGCGCGGCAGGTGACGTGGGCGGGGGACTGCTCGCAGACCTCGCAGACGACGACGCGGGCGTGGCGGGAGGCGAGCTTGTTGGCCGCGTGCACCTTGGCGTCGCAGCTCGGGCAGAGGAAGGCCGAGTCGGCGCGGCAGAACAGCGCCGCCGTCGCCGACTTGCACGCGTCGCACAGCTTCGACGCCATGACCGGATCTTCAGCTCAGCTCAGCTCAGCTCAGCTTCTGCTCAGCTTCTGCTCTGATCTGATCTCTCTCTCTTTCTTTCCTCTTCGTGAATGGCGTGTTTGCGCAATTATCTGCGGGTGAGGAGAGTGGAGAACCGGGGGTCTATCTAGTGGGCCCGGGGAGATCTGGGTATCGACCAATGGAAAGGAGACACGTGGCACAGGCTTAGCCAGATCGGGGGAAATTTTTTGGGGGTTCGTACTAATATTCGGGGACGGGGGAAATTTGTCGATTTGTCGTCGTGGTGGACCCACAGAAGGAGCTTTCTCACCGCTTTTTTATTTTTTTTGGTCGAAAGAAAATGAGGGGAAATTTCTAATAAGCCATTGAGATGCCTTTATTTTCTCAAATAAAAATTTAAAATGAATTTTATTTCAAATAAAGATCTGAAGTATCATCATTTTCTCGAATAAAAGTTTGAAGTGACTATAACAATTTCAAATATGGGCCTAATCTTGCCGACCGATCAAATTTTCCAGCCGGTCAAGGGCCACCAAATCGATGCAAGAGCCGACGACTCTCACCCAAACTGGGACGAGGGCCGGCGACCCTCACCTAGATCTGGGAGAGGTCGTCACCCTCTCCCGATTTTGGCGAGGGCCTGGCCCTTAACTCTGGCCAGTGAGGGTCACCTACCCTCGCTGAGGCGCAAGTGACCCCACCAGACATCGCCACCACCCTATCGGCAATGGGCGGCGGCCACAACGTGTTCCAATTTTTTGTTAACATTAGCTTTTTTTTCTTTTTCGAGTTTGTTTTTTATGGAAAAAATAGATAAGGAAGAAAGAAAAAAAAAGTCGAAAAACGGCCTTAACCTGTGAGGTTAGGCCTTTCTTTGAGATTGAGATGGCCACTTCAAACCTTTATTTGGAACAATGTTCACTTCAAACTCTTATTTTTTTTTTAAAAAGGTAGTACTTAAGGCCCTTATCTGAAATAATGTCCACTTTAAGCTCTTATTTGAGAAAATGATGTCACTTTTGGCCCTTAGTTAGAATTTTTCCAAAGAAAATTACATCCATTACTTAAAACGATACATGAGAAGTACATAAACTTTTATAGCAAAGGAGATCGAAATAGAGCAAAGCCCATAATACAACAAAATAAAGCCAAATTGTGAAAAGAATGAGGATCAACATAGCACTGGCATGATTAAGCACACACCCGTTCCATGAAAATCGATTTGTCAAGCAAAGTAATTGGCAGTCGATCATTAGATCTCGTATCATCATCAGTGATGAGCACACGCCGAAAATTCTTATCATCCTCATGGGATATTTTTATCCGGGCTGTATACCTCTTATATTCGACTTTATCTTATTTTGAACAGGAACCAAATATAAGATAAGATAAATTTTATCCTATTCCGATTTTTATCCTAACTATCAAACGTAGTCACGTAGTTTAATTCGGGAATACTAAATATGGAATGTAGTAGAATCTAACATTATTCAACAACAAACACCATTTTATACCTAGCTTCTAATTGTCCCTAGATCTTAGATTTTTCATGATCATTTATCTTAGTTTCTTTCCATCTTTGAGACTCTGTAAACTTGAAATTTGAGTTTACAATGCACGGGTTTGAATAAATAGTTGTCTTTTTACAAATTTGAGGCTATTTATTATGTACTTGAATAAGACTGTTATTTATGAAATACTGTAGTGGGCTATATAGGTAGCCAAAGGGAAATTGATTATCTTAGTAAGGCGAATTTTGGAAAATTATATCAATACCCATAATGGGTTTTGGATTGAGTTTTGGAAGTAATAACAAGTTGATAGAATGGGTTTAGGATGGCGGCGGCGGCTTCCATCCCTATAATATGAAACTCCATGACCAACATAAACTCACTGCATCAGGCTTATTTGGTGCCCCCAAGATGTAGCAGTCGACATGGCCTCGACTCCATTACACCCACTAGCCCATCGGGAGGAACTCAACTCTCCATGGTCGCCAAAGCTCTCATGCCCTCAGTACTGAACATTCCAAAAATGCTACTTCTCAAGATATCTCCAATCCTCTGTCAAGTTAAAATCCTTTGGAGAGCTTTGAGGATGTAATTGCATCTTTCCAAATTTCTTCAAAAAATTTGCCAAACATCGTTTACCTTGAATTAAAGGACTTTGGCAAAGTGTTGCCAAATGCGCCACTCATATTGACCTCGATTTGAGGTCGTTTATTTCAATTTGCTTGATCACAAAACATGCACAACGCTATCATGGTGCTGGGAATGGGGGTAGAGAGAGAGAGAGCACTGATGAGCACAGTGATTGGGAATGATCTTGGGGTCGACTGTGACAGTGGGCGGTGATGTTGTGTCACGTCATCAACAGCTGCTGCGCAGAGAGAGAGAGAGAGAGAGAGAGAGAGAGAGAGAGAGGTGATTAGAGTTTCCAATTACGATTTTTTTGGTTTACACGATGAAAAAGTCATATGTAATAGTCAGCAGCCAGTAGCTTGGACTGCATCTGATACTTCAGTCACAGCAAAAGCTTAACCACTCAACTTTTCCTTGTTCTGGCAATCCCATTTTCTGGACAACATGCTGGTTGACTATTTCAAGTATGTTTATGCCTCTAAATGTAAGTAAGCTGTCTCATCTATGTGTGTCAAATGAGGCACTTTACACGTTGCGGAAGCGTGATCTTTAAGATTACGCTGAATGGAAGACATTATGATTTGAACATGAATTCCGACATTCAAGTTAGACACTCCACTACTTTGCCAACCTCTCTTAAATTCAATAAATGAAGTAATTTGTAGAGTTTCAAAATTTGTGCTCCTTCAAAGTTGCCCGTATCCTTTCATGTCGGACTAGAATTTTGCTGCACAAATTTCCATGTATCATCTGTCTGTTCAAATTGCATTCTCATGCACAACTCATCCCCGCGAATGTTTCCTCATCTCCATGTTTTCTTTTTCCAAATTTTAGCATCCTCCTCTAAACCCAAATGAGTATGAGAGAAACAAAGTAATCATCTCTCAGTAGAGAGCAAAATTCAGTGTGGAGAGAATGATAATACTTCACATAAGATGTGTAGTGCACTTGATCTTGAGGAGAATGTGGTTCTCATTCTTTCCCTCCTGCATCTAGTTTAACCGGAATCTTACATGACGAAGGCTACAAGCACTTTCCATCTTTGTCCGAGCAAAAAGACATGACAGGAAGAGGGTCACCTCGTAGATGTCAGTGGTGGGTTTGGGGACCGCAGTTGGTGGGGGCAGAATTCAACAGGAAGGACAGGGATGGCTTTGGGTAGTTTGTGTCAGCTGGCCTGACCCATGTGAAGTGGAGACGGTGGAATGCTGATGCGACGACGTGAGTTTGGGCTATGATGTGCGTGTTTGAAAAGGGCTCTTCCCGAAGATGCGTATGAGGCTTAGATTTTGGAGCTCTGAAGATGTATGGTTAGATCCCGTATACGACAGGGGAGATGGTAGACCAGATTTTGATACGACATATCTACAATCCCCCCTCCCTCTCTCTCTCTCTCTCTCTACTCGTGTTGTCGATAGTGGATGATGCGACCGGGATTGTCATGTGGCTCACTTAGAAGTTATCTCAAAGGTTTTAGAGGTTAACGTTCGAGAAATTGATGAAATGATAAAGCACTTGATTTGGAAACGACGGGTTTTGTGTTTGAATAAATCATAGTATCTTCATTTAAAGTGATTCTTGTGTTTTGTCGAAGATTGTACTCGAGTGTTCATGCTCCCAACCTTTTCTGCATTTTCTAATTTACCCATTTTTCAGTCTAGATGGCATAATCACGAGGCACGGATAATGTTATGGTAATTCTTCTTTTTACAAATCGATATCTTCAAAATTAATTAGTCGAATAATGTTTGCTTTTTATCAAGAGTTGCATCTGACAGTAAAATAGTATCTCCGTTCATATGAATGTTGCATCTAATAGTAAGATAATAAGTTCATTTATATGAGAGTTGCATCTTTTCATAATACAGGACTATTTGTTCCAACAGTGTGTCTTTCGATCTACTTTTGGACGCACAGTTATGAGAAGATATTTCACATTCACATTTAATTATCTACTTAGTTGGAAGTTGAATATTGACTTTACTTTTCTTTCTCCTATAAATCCACAATTTAAATTGTCAATTAACAGTTAATTTGGATCTAAAAAATTTCTTGTCTTTTATAATACAAGTCTGCTTCATATTTTCCAAAATCTATTAGTCTATAGACCTACATATAAAAAGGTAATGCATCTTGCTTTCTCTCAATCATTTGAAAGCAAATACAAGAAGCTTTCTTAGAATGTCACAGAATTCTTGTATAGCATATTCAAACTGCGTGTGGTTTTAATTTTTAAGGAGTTATTTAATTCAATTTAATAGCATTATCAGGACAACACGGACTTAAATGGCATAGTTCAATTTTTTTTTTCAATTCTGATAATCTCTTATTTAATTTCTATAAATAATTTATATATTAAAGCAATTGTAGGAATTTTCAAAATTTTTCTGTATAAGTTTGATATTTTGGGTTGCAGTTTTCTTTCTTATATTTTTTTTATAGAAATTTTTAGTTTCAGCATTTTTTTCAACCATCTTCAATGTCCAATGAAGATTATTAGTGCGATAATTATTATTGAGACATTCATCCTATCTCTACATGTAGCTTTTTTAATATAATGTTCCATATATCGCGCAACTATTGCTGTTTGTTCAAGAGAATAAAGAATAAAAGTTGCTAATTATGCACTATAATTTATAAAAATTATAATTTATTTACCACGCATACGCGCGCGGGTCACCGTCTGGTTTTACTAATGATGATATCGCTTTCTCTTACTTTCTGGGGCTCACTAAATTGAGTTTGTGGTTCACATTATGCCGTTTCTGTTGTATCAAATCATGAATTAAAAGCAAAACCATTAGACAATGGCTTCTTTTATGTTATAAACTTGAATGAAGCACTAGAAGCAGCCCCCTTTGTTGACCAGGATTTTACTTTTGTTGGTGTTTGTCTATATTAAAAGTCCAAAGCAGGCGTGGATTAAGTCCGGTCAACCCTTAAAGTGAACATTTTCGCTTTGAC